GGAGGTTTCTTTGATAGCCCTTTTAGAGGTACGTTGTGGTGGTGATATAAAATATACTGCGCAAACAAAATAACGCAAATAGGGAAATGTTACTTCTGAAACCACATACTAGGTGAAAAAGGGGTATAGCAATCCTTGAGGGATTGATTTGTGATATGCATTGAGTTAGACTTGGGTAAAAAGAACTTGACTCATAGTAACGTCAGAGCAATCCTTCAGGGATTGATGGGATAGGTGGACCATTTTTGTCAAGAATTCATTGTCACGTTTCATCCTAAAGGGAGACTTAGAGAATTAAAGTCCTTAATCTACTTTCTGGGCAAATAAATATACAAAAAAAAAAAAAAATGAGTGCTATAAATTTAAATATCATATGCCCAAATCTCATGTCAAAGAGTTTCTATAGCAGAGACTAGCACTGTAAACATGTCATAGCCTTTCATTGTTATCACATGCAAGCTAAGGTTTAGCAACGACAGGTGCAACCTAACCATATTGAGAATTCATGCTATTTTCCCACTTATAAGTTGGGTGATGAATCTCAATAGCTATGGCCTATAACAAATCATAAATTGCCAACGAGAGAAATAACAAAATCTCTTATATGAACATAATCAAGAGATTATATGCTAAAAGATGTCAATTAAAGAGAAGCACATGCAATATGTGATATAATTGTCCCTTATGTCTTGGACACCAAAAACTCAATTTAGTCATGTACATCATATTTGGTACACACAAGGCATGACATGACCAGAGATATTCTTATTAATTCATAAATTAGAAAAATGAGAGAAGTACCGTTTGCCGAAGAATAATGAGCACATGTTTGCTGCCGGACCCATTCATTCCTATTTTGGGAAGTCAAAAATAGTACTTTTCCAAGCAAGCTCTCATTTTATCTCATAGTTTCATACAAGTATGAAAAAATCACAAAGCAACAAGATATACAACCTGAAAATGGCAGAAATTTTCATAATTTTGACCTGGATTGCTGAATTTTCTGGAAAAAACGGTAACACATTTTGACACAAAATTTTGCAGATATGTAGTTCAGCAAGTCTAGAATGTACACGAAAATTTTCATGCCAATCCAATGTCTATAAGTATTTTTTCTAAAATATTTCCCAACATTGCTCCAGGCAGAAAAATAATTGACAGCACAGTGCCAAAACTTTAATTTTTCTGGAATCACCAAAGCATATTTTTAACAAAATCTTTTTACAGACATCAAATACCACGAGTCTAGGTTCTCCAGAAAAAATTTCATGCCAAAAGGAGTTCAAGAAGTATTTTTCACGAATTTAATTTTCAAACTGCGCCGGTCAAAATTTTCAGGCAGTGATTACTATGTGTAAAAATAAAATCACAACTTGTTTGTTTCAAGCAAACCAACATGATGTGAGTCAATTTTAACTTTTGGAGTGTATCATAGCATTAGAAATAGAAGTTGCAAACTTCATTCATAAGTCATTAGTCACTTTAAAGATCAATCCACATTCAGGGTCTTCCAGACCTTATTAAAAAAAACCCAATGACCAAACACTTAGCATAATTTTGTCATGTACTACTACTGGAGTACAATACGACCATTGACAATGAGACCCGCATACACCAAATATCCTTCAAGGATTCACTTAGGGCTTATAGATCCTTTTAGATCAAATATCTATAATCGAGGCCTTGAGGCAAGATAAAGATAACGGGTGACTGATAAAATTAGTGCTCTTGATTTACCTTCTGGGTAAAACTATATTAAAAAAATTAGACACTATCATTTTGTTTAAATACTCCGATTTAAGATTTATTCTAATGCCCAAGACTCATGTGAAATAATTTCTATAGCAAATTAGCACCATCAATTAACTTTTAAAACAATACAAAGCCAATTTTATATTGGGGAAACTGCCCTAGTGCTGATATTTTTAATTTGTGCTATGACTTGTTGCCTTATGGGCAATGCTATGTTTAGAATTTTGGCTATAATCACTTGTTGATCAAGATAATCCTTCAGGGACAGTCATATAATACAATCGTTATGCTCTGGACCCGTGTCCAGCATGCATGCTGGACATGGGTAACAGTGCCGTTAGGCACTGTTATCTCTTTCTCTTTTTTTTAAAAAAAAAATTTAATTTCAGATTCGTTATAGGAGTATATGTTCATAATTTTATTACTATATGTTCATAATTGTAAGTTCATAATGTCAGAGCTTATGTTCATAATTCAATAATTGTACATTCATATTTCCATAACTGTACATTCATAATTCCGTAACTGTACATTCATAATTCAATAACTGTAACTTCATAATTTTCGAAGCTCTATGTTCACAATTTTAGAGCTCTATGTTCATAATTTTATCACTATATGTCCATATTGTAAGTTCATAATGTCATAGCTCTGTGTTCATAATTCCATAACTGTATATTCATAATTGCATAACTGTACATTCATAATTGCATAATTGTACATTCATAATTCCGTAACTGTACATTCATAATTCAATAACTGTAAAATCATAATTTTCGAAGCTCCATGTTCACAATTTTAGAGCTCTATGTTCATAATTTTATCATTATATGTTCATAATTGTAAGTTAATAATGTCAGAATTCTGTGTTTATAATTTTATAACCTACATTCATAATGCCATAACTGTACATTCATAATCTCATAACTGTACATTCATAATTGCACAAACGAATAACGCCGTTAACGGCGAGACAAAATCAAAAAAAAAAAAAAAAATTAACTGGAATGACGCGTTTTTCTTAAAAACGACGTCGTTTTGGACTCGTGTCCAGGGCATAATTTGCCCATATAATAAGCAGGGGCTTTGATGTGCCTTCCGGGCTATCTCCCATTAAGATTTAAACACAAAATGTTAATAAATCTTAATCTTTATGACCTATAACAAATAATCCATTGACATTTTTAAAGCCCCATAGAAAATAATTCATAACCACTCTTAATACCAAATTCATAGTTTCATTGAGTTCTGGAATGAGCCCGGCCGACCAACTTACAAGCATGCAATTCAACAGAATGCTATAAACTCTTTGTTAACCCAACAACTATGACCGGTCATCTTCTTCATTGGATAAAACGACCGTCTGGTCACATTCTCTAGTGGAGAAGACGACCAGATCTGGTCGTTATCTCCACTGAAGGTGACCAGATGGTTGTCTTCTCCAGTGGAGAAGACGACCAGACTGAGGTCGCCTTCTCCACCAAAGAACACGACCGGTCGGTCGTCTTCTCCGATGGAGAAGACCGGAAAAAGGTGCTGACAATTAAATTTGTTTAGCGGTCGTGAACAATGGTCAACAACCAGAATTTTACCAAAAACCTATTGGTTACCGGTAAATCAGACATAATTGACTCATTTTGACAAGTTTAATTGTTTAATTGAACTTTTTTGAAGTTTAGGGACCTAATTGCACTTTCGAGTAAAGTTTAAGGACCTATTTGACCCTTTTCTTTTATTTTTTTTTTATTTTTTATTTTTTTAAAAAAACACTCACAATGGAGTTCAATTACACTATCTATTTGATTTAGGGGCCAATTGAACTTTTTTTACTAAATTATATAAAACTTATAAGGACATTAAACTATTAAAGTAATGCAAATAATATAAATCCTAGTTTCATACTTTCATATTAGTATTTTTATTTATTACTACCTCCGTCTCATTTTATGTGTCTGGTTTGATTAACGAGGATTATTTCTAATCCTTTCATAATATTAAGTTTAGTATTAGTATGCAAAATTTATATGTTTAGAAACTACACTAAAAGTACTATTAAACACAAAAAAAAATTAAATTTAAAAATAAGTATAAAATACTAAAGATCAAAAATAAACAAAGAATAAAGAGTTGGTTTGACCAATGAATAGTAAGTATGACAGATAAAATGGGACAGAGATAATAATTAATAGTAGCAGCACTACTAGTTGTTATTACTACCGGTGTTAATATTATTTTAAATCAAAATATTTAAATAGTAAATATTCATTAGTGATTTGTTAACATATCATGTAATAAGTTGATGCAAACACATAATTATTTTAATGAGTTAAACAGAACCCAAAACTAACCAGCTCCTTATTGTGTCAACATATTAATATAAAATACCCTTAGGGTGGAGGTTCAGCCTTTTGAAAGAATATTAATATAAAATAAAACTAAACCCGAACGTGTTATTTTTATATATGATTTCATGTCATGTAAAAAATTGTTTGGTCTAATAAAATTACTGAAAGTGGAAGCGAGAAGAGTTGGATTTGAGATCTTCAAGGGCACAAGGGTTATACTCGTACATAAGTTAACTTTTCTACATCATCATATAATCTCTTCCATTATTTTCTCTCCAACTTTTTTCCCTTTTCACCCTAGCTATTTGGTGAGTCTTACACTCTTTCACATCATCTATTATTTTATTCACTATCTTATAATTATAATTTCAAATTCGATTTTAAATCAAAATAAATTTAAATTACAAAATAAAATAATTTTTGATTTACAAAATATAATTTCATAAATTAATTTAACGTACACAACATTCAAGTTTGCATTTGAAATCGTCTACAAAACAAAGTAACATATGAAAACCAATATAAAATATTAAATACTAACAACTAATACAACTAAAAATAAGTTTAACTCAAAATTCCTGTGGTCAAATTTAAAAATAAATTTAACAATCTCTCCATAAATTGATTCCTCCCTCCCCTCCATCCCTTCTTTCTCCCCTCTTTTTTTCTGCATTGAAGATGTCCCAAGGCCAATCAAATTCTCTTATTAACTACACAAATTTTAGTTTTTAGAAAGGAGAAAGTAGCAATAATACCCTTCCTTAAGAGGAGGGTAAAGGATAGGAATAGTAGAGTGAGTTTAAACATTATTTAGGCGTGATTAGAAGTCGAATACAATAGTGACAAATTGGCACTGGCTCGTTCGTTGCAGAAAACATTTTCCATTGTATTAAATATCAATTCTTTTCCTATAAATGATAAAAATCATCTATATTTTTCATTGGCACTATTTAGTTATTGCCAAAAAAATCATGCAGCACTTACAGAGTTACAGGCACTCGTAATTACACAACTAAATTTCCATAGTCTGACGAAGAAATTCACTATGTCTCCATCCGTCGTCCTAAACAAGTACTGATTTATATATATATTTTTTCTTATTGTTCGATTTCTTAAAAGAACTATAAAAACAAAATAATTAAGGAGAAAAAAAAATGAACTGTAATCTGGCAATCACTATATCAGGGTTGTACTCGGTATCTCTCTCAAGCATCATCATCATCAGTTGTTTGACCAGGAGTTCCGGCTAGCCAGCCCCATACACCGCCAGAGCCCTGCCTATGCTTTGAGCTTAAGGCAGCTTGCTCAGAAGCGGCCTTTTGTCTCTGGAGGAGTTCGAGTTCCTTTTTTAAGGTATCCATAGTCTGTAGCTTCTGTCGTAGCTCTGCCACATCAACCTGTTAATGCAAATACGGTATTATATAACCATGCCAAACCTTCTTAAGAGTTCAGCTAGTCTTTTTTCTGAATGAATAGAAATAGGCATATTGACTTCCACTCTGAGGAAAATATACTCCGTTCAGTCCATTGGAACCCACTTTCTCGCCCCACCCACCATCTACCCCTGAGTCCCTGACCCCCCACCCCCGACCCCCACCCTGCCCAAAATTTTTTCAAAGAAAATACCCAACAAAGAGCCTCAATGGATAAGATACTCAATTAAGGGGCAGATCTTAACTTTGCTTGGAGCCTTGGACTCTTCATTAAATTAAATATTAATCAGCAAATTCCACACAGGTTCCATTGATGTAGTGTACAAACAAACACCAAAGTAAAACAGTGTGTATATAATGTACATGTATACACACACTCACGCAGGTCAGCTGTCAGCATGTACGGCGAAGGGGGAGCTAGGAGTACAGTGCCCATCAAATTTAAAAATGTTAGTGTGATACAAATATTTTCTAATTGGCCCCCAAATATATTTCTAGTATGCTTTGGCTACCTAGATTATTTCCTAGCCCGTTGCAGAAAGAAAATATTTTCTAAATTATCTCTTGATCTCCTAACATAATATCATAATTTAATATTCACATAATAATGCATAGGCAAAACAAGTAAACTTAAAAAATAAAAAATAAAATAAAAAAATAAAAAATAAAAAATAAAAAAATTGTATGTACCTCAAGTTTGAAGCATCTGGACTGTTCAGCCGCAAGTTGACTGCGTACAGCTTGGAGTTCCTATATACGCAAATAATTTTATGATTTAAAATAATTTACTTCAAGGTTTAGTGACAGTAGTATCTTGAAAAATTAATTACTTAAAAAATAAAAATTAAAAAATTAAAAATTAAAAAAAAAAAAAAAAAAAAAACCTATTCTATTAACCACATGTAGCTTCTTCCTGTAAACATGGAAGGCATAAAAATCCACAGCTCTAGAGATTTTGGAGGCCACAGTTGAGACGGGATTCCTTTTGGCATAATATGCAGTAACTATTTGTGCTTTAAATATTGGAACAGAACCAAGTTTAATTACTTAAATTCAGTAGAAATAGTAGCAAAAGTTACTTTGTACAGGTCTCTGTTGCGAGTCTCTGCATCTGTTAAATCTTGCTTAAGCTGGAGAGTCTGCAATTTTTCTTTGTTGAGAGATGATTCCAACTCCTCCTTTTCCGCCTTCAGGGTTGATATAAGATGTTCACTTGTTTCATCAACTTTATTCACCTGTAGAATGCAGGGGATGGTGAGAGAAAGAAAGGAGTATGAAACAAAAAGTGTACTCTGTAATTTCATACATAATGTGGCCAGAGCTTCAAATATAATCAATCATAGGATATCAAATATCAATTGTAGAACATCATAAATCTATTGAGAATTCTTAAGTAAAGAATAGTCCAACTAGAACCGAATGAAAGAATGAAATTAAAAATGAGGTTAAGAGAAATTCTTCCACAACCAGCAGCTACAGCCTACAGAAGATTATTTATGAAATGATATATGGGCTGTTCCTCAATCCAAGATACTATTGCTCCAAAAATTAAGAAGAAATTATGTTTGTAATTAGTAACAAAACCCATACTAACAAGTGTTTTTTCAATCACAGTACCATTGGCTCTGAATCAACATTGTCCATAGCAAATTCCCTAATTTTTCCATCTTGTCCTGTTCCAAGTTCTGACTCCAAATCTCTGGTTGGATTTGTAGCATTATGCACAGCAGAAACACTATCAGGAACTGGAGTCTCTATCATCTTTGATTGCAAGGTAGATTTGTGACTTGGTTTGAGTAAATTGACCTTGAAATAATGGATAAAGTTCAAATCAGAAGAAAGGTGAATAGAGCAAGGCCGTGGAGAAATAATAATAATAATAATCCAGCCTAACCTCATTGCTATACTGGCCATTATATCCACCAAACGAGACCAGAACATCTTCACCATTATAGGAACTTAGGGCCAGACTCAAGCCCTGTTAGAAAGAATATTGGTTTTGTAAATAAAGCAAAGTCTCATTCTTAAACATCATAGCCAAATATCTGCTCATCATAAACATTTAACATCGAGTTTGTATTAGCCTAAGATTATCAAACAATAAGCACTTAAGATAAAGGTAGCTACTACACAACAAAATACAACAAGACAGCAAAGAAACACTCCAATATAACCTGGGATATTAATCATTCCAAGAGAAAACAGCACTGTTTCAGTTACCCAAGAGAGCAATTGGCACTAGGTGATCTAATTAAACATTGACATTGTCCCAGTTTCCAGTCTTCCCCATTTGGTCATTAGAAAATTGTATATTTCCTAATAGAAAAATATTAAGGTGCTTCCTGTTTGTTCTTGAATTCTTTTACGGAGTATCAATTAAAAATAAATACATCCACCTTCATACCAAATTACCAATCCACTTAAAGCTCAAAAGTGAAGGATAGTGAAAGTTTGACTTTCAATGCAATTTCTCCATAAAGAAATAAAATATCCATATCTACTTTGATGTTGATGCCCGAATAAAATGGAACAATCAAAATCGAATCAAAGGAGCATTTAAGCATTTTACTTTCATGATTTGGAAATTTATTATAAAAAAAAAAAAAAAAAAAAAAAAAAAAAAAAAAAAAAATTAAGACTACTCTATAATTTCAAGTGATTAAATAAATGTAAAGTATATAAAATTATAATGAATAACCCTATTAAAAACAAAACAAAACAAACAAACAAACAAAAAAAATACCTCACAGGCCAGAGGAACATGACCTTGAACAGAAGTTACAACAGACCACACCAGTGCAGACATGTTCAGGACAACCATTTCAGAGACTCCTGCAAAAGGAACACACACACACACACAACAAAGTTTGATGCCAAGTGAGCACAAATCATGTGCAAATAAGAGGCATCTTACAACAAAAGTCACTCAGCAATCTCAAAATCCAAACAGAAACCACATCTTTGATGAATTGTTGGGATAACCACCACTAAAACAAATTAGCTTGGTTATAAATTAATAGCTTCAGCTACTAAGTTCTATAAGGATAAAAAAGCAGATAAACATTGGAAGGCACAAATCCTTACCACTTTTATTGTTGCCTCCCCCGACAATAAACCAATTCTCTCCAACAGTTGCACCAGCATGGCCAGCTCTTGCACTTGGTATCTCACCTTGTTGAGTAGGCCTTGACCACTCCATCTACATACTCAAATGATGGCATTTATAAACCAGAACCTTTCGAGGCAACTAATAAATACAAAAATTGAATTCAATGTCTCACCGTTTGCAAATCAAGGACATGCAGATCATTGAAGCAAGCAGTATGAGAGCCCCCACCAAAAATAAGAAGGTAACGCTCAGCATGCACTGCTGCAGCGTGATCAGCTCTTGGAGAAGGAGGCAGACCCCTATGCAAAGGAAAAGTTAACCAAATAAATGCAGTTGCATATATGTAATTAATACAAGTTCTACTATTCAGTTACATGTAAATCCACAGGATTTCAACCACAGCCAAGAGCATGCAAGCTTAAGATCTTGATTGAAAAGGAAAGCATATTTGAAAAACATCACCTTTAACTAGAAAGAAACACCTAAATGGTGAGGACAACCACTACAATACAACGGAATAGCACAAAATTCTAATGTTATCAAATAAGCATACACAAATCTTAGACTAGGACGGGAATGGGATTTTCCAACTTCTGTGCAATGACTTCCTACATTCCAATAGTCTTCAGATATGTCAAGATGAGCAAGAAAACTGAAGGGAAAGTAAACATGCTTCTGAAATTTTCAAGTGTCATACAGCATATTCATTTCATCCCAGGTCATGGTTTCCAAGTCCAGAATATGCAGGTCATTCAAGAGTGATCTTTTTGCATCTTGCCCACCAAATACTACTAAGCTTGTCCCTACAAGGGTGACTGAATGACCTCCACGAGAAACCTACAAGATCAAGCACAAAAATTTACTTGCTAGTGCTATGCATAGTAATTCAGTTATTCCAACCAGACCGGCACAACAGCTAAACACTTCTTTGACAGAGATAGAAACAGAGGAAATGACAATGCTAGATCACTAATACAAAAATCTTTAATTTCATGAAATGCAAAAGCACATTGAAATTGAAACTCCCAATTAAAACTAAATATCCTTCAATCTTCATTTATAGTGTTCTTTATCTAAAAGCACCTTTTAAATTATTCAGAAATAAGTTGAAATCATTCAAAAATATTGTGAAAAAAACTGTCAAGTGAAATACTGGAAAAAGTTTACGCATAAAATAGAAAAGAGAACAGAATTTTAATGAGATAAACAAGCATACCGGTGGCTTTCCATATGTCTTCAAAGTTGACCAAGTACACAATTGCAAATCAAACACCTTCACTGGAATTGAAAATGAGAAAAGTGTTTAAGTGGCCAAACTACGCTCAAGTCAAAGAGATGACAATGAAGATCTTGATAAGTTGTCAGCAATATTCCTGCCTGAATAAGTTAACTGAATTCACAATAAATCCAGTAAACGAAATTGCACAAAGAGCTATGGGAATCATAACTTTCTCTTTTTCACAAAATGTAATGCAAAGACAGGCGTCTACACAGGAACCCCAAGCAATAATAGGCACTAAAATGTGTCCTTGAGGACTTTTCATTTTCATTTCTTGTTTAACCAAGATTTACTGTGCCCAAAAGAGAAAACTCCTATAGTATTTTGAAGTTATCAGGAAAAATACCACAGATATGGATGCAAGGCTAAATTTTTCATTTAGTTCTTAGTGTGCAAAGACGAGCATTCTGGTTGTAGGATGAGAGGAAAGGTTGACTAGAAGGACAAAGATGTAAAGCAAGAGCGCAAAGTGAAGGAAAAGGGGTACTAGTGTGTTATTTCGTGTTATTTCCATTTAAAGAAATCCTCAAATCCTGTCTATAAAGTTGAGGCAATAAGTAAGATTCTAAAGATGAGGATATTATTCACACAAACCCTAAAACTGAGGACAAAAAGCAAAATTAATTCAATTTCCACTTTCAAAAATCAGAATAATCTTTTATAGGGCTTCACCATACTCTTTAACAGGAAATCATGGTAGTTAATTGTCTTCCTTGGGATTTTAGATTCTTTTCACAAATAGAGAACTGTCATGGAATATCTGTAGAATATATACTTTAACAGCTGGAATTTTCAACAGTATCTATTTTTCTTTTCTTTTTATTTTTAGAAAGGTAGTAATGAAATAGATATTGTGTCATCAACGTCGTTGACAAAGTAAAAATCCAAATCCATTGTGCAAAATGAGATCGAGTTCTAGTGGCATGTACAAACCTTGCAGAGCTTCAGAAGGATCTCTTGTATGTCCACCTACCGAAAGAAGCTTATTTCCCTCCCATGGTATCTGTAATACAGAAAGAGCACAACTATGTGACAATAGTGAAAATAAAATTTAGAACATGCGGTAATTCTTAATGACAAATACAACACAACCGGATGCCACCACCTAGTGCAGAATATACATCTCCGTCACTATACTAACCAGGGAGTGTCCGGCACAGGGAGTCACTGTCGGAGAAGAAGCCTCAGCAGCTGATTTAACCTCAACCCTGGACCATGTCCAACTTTTCAAGTCCAAAGCCTGCACACCAATTCCCCATCATCCACCCAGATAACATAAGTGAAGACTAAAAATGAATATCCAGCAACTAAAAAAGTGAGCTAAACAGAATATTTGGAAAGTGGATTAGAGGGAATGTCAACAGTAGTAAACAAAAATCAAGTGTCAGTGTTCTACCAAAAAAAAAAAAAAATAAAGTGTCAGTGTTCTACCAGACTGAGCGTTACGGATGTAATGATGCATATCACAAAATAGATTATAGGATTTAGTAATGTAATATAAATAGTCTCATTAATAAGAATCCACAGATACCAAAGGTAGTTTGCTGCCTGTAATGCTCATACCTGGAGATCACTAAGGTAACGCCCATTGTGATTCCCACCAAAGATATACATCCTATCATCAATGACAGCAGCACCATGCTGTGCGAATAAGGAAAAGCGTTAATTGATTAGAACATGAAAAGAAAAAAGAAGAAACAAATAGATGAATAAAGAGTTTCAATAGTTACATAGTCAACACAAGTGAAATAGTGAATACCTCATATCGAGGTCTTGGACGTCGACCAGATATTGGAGGTGTAACCCATTGATCATACACACTAACTGCACCAAAGTCTTCTGACACAACATTTTTGTCTTGAGTCTCTATTAAATTACCATTTTCAGCAGAAATAGTTTTTATCTCAGGCAAAGCATTTCCATTTCCTACAACGGTCTCAGCTTTTTCATTGTGCTGAAAGCAAAGGATGATATGAACAGAGGAAAGAAAAGAAAGGTTAAGATAAGAGATAGAAACAAAATTCTGAATGCAACAAATTCCACTTTGATTTCAAGTACAGCCAAAAAAAACATTTCAATGAGTAAAAGAATTGAAGGCATCTCCTTACCATCACAACCTTCATGACAATATGACCCAATGTGGATCATGGTGCAACATATAATGGTAAGAATTAAAAATGAAATAAATAAATAGCAACTAATTATCAACTTATGCAGAGCTTCATATTGTTCCGAAATTATAGGCATTTCCATAGAGTGTTCTACTTAGATAATACTATAATAGACATAAAAACCTAAGGGGGCGTTTGGTTCAGGTTATATAACATAACCAAGGGAATGTGACATTCCAAAGTTCACATTCCGGTGTTTGGTTCATATTATCTTAAGGAATCTAACATTCCCAAGGAATGTCACATTCCCTCCACATAGGATTTTGAAGGGAATGTGATTCCCTTCAAAATCTTAGGTAATGTAAGATAACCTTGGTTATGTTAGTTTATTATTATTATTATTATTATTATTATTATATATATATATAATTATTTTTGTAATTATATATATATATATATATATATATATATATATATATATATATATATATATATTTTATTTTTATTATGTTATGTTAGCATATAAAATAATTTTGTTTTTCAAGTTCAAGATTTTAGTTAATATTTTAAAATCATGTAATTATATATGATACCGTTATCTTATTTATTTATTTTAATTTTTAAATTTATTAAAATATATGAAAATATGTTAAGGATATTATAGTGTGTATAAAAGATAACCTAAACCAAACATGATTATATTACATACCTCAATTTTAACCAAACACAGGAATCTAACATTCCCAGTAATCTAACATTCCCAACAATCTAACATTCCCTAAGGTAATCTGACATTCCGTGAACCAAACGACCCCTAACAGTTATAAATCAAGTTGTCCCTAAATTTCATGTAAAAGCTCTTATAAGCTAGACTCCTCAACTTCAATTGTTCAATGATATTAAAAAATTAAATGTAAAAAAAAAAAAAAAACAAAAACAAAAACAAAAAAAAAAACAAAAACAAAAACAAAAAAAAAAAAAAACAAAACAAAACTTTAAAAAACAAATTTAATTATAAGAATCTTGGGTGATGAAAGGCCAATTTACAATCTCCTCAACTTTTCTCAAGTTAAAGAGATGTGGCACATGAAAATTTAAATGGATTTCAACTATTTTCATTCTAAATGTCTTGGTAATATTAGCTAGCAGGACCTGCTTTTAAAATCTCATATGCATGAAGGGGAAAAAATATCCTTGAATCAGCGTAAATGTTATAGAACACTCAATTTACCAAGCATCAGAAAATAATGCAATCAGCATTACAGGGAGATAAACAAAAGTAAAAGAAACTGAATGAGACAAAATATTTCCAACTGACATTCATTTCAACATCTACAACAGGCTCCACAGAAAAATTTGAGGCCCTAGAGTACCACCCTGGATCTTCTTCCTATCCATAGAAAGAACCAAGAACTGTTAAATGTTAGTCATAAAAAAAAATTATTGCAAGAGGTACAAAATCAACTCTATACAGACCTCCAATATTTTCACAAACAGACGCATTGCCTCAGTGGAAGCCATGTTCCCAAGACCATTCCAGCTTCAAAAGTAGGAAAACCCTTTAGAACACAATAGAACACTAAGAAAGGTAGTGATGTATTTTAAATATTCCCATCATCTAACAGTGTAAATTAATAACTAGGGTCAAGGTCAAAATTTCCTTGTCCAAACAAAAAGAAAAAGAAGCACCTAGTAGGGGTGGCATAGGTCAGGCTAAGGTTAAACCCAAAAAAATTTCAGGTCCTCTGAAACATAACATGTCATCTAAACCAAACTTTGTTCAGAATTTCAAATTCTATGGGTCAAGTCAATTCAGGTTCTGGTTCTTTCAGGTCCTCTGAAAGATAACATGTCATCTAAACCAAACTTAGTTCAGAATTTCAACTATGGGTCAAGTCAATTCAGGTTTTGGTCATGTCAGGTCAGCCAAACTAGTACTGTAATAAAATCATAAAGTGCAGCCTTTTGCACTATAAGAAATCGTGCTACTTATAACATGCCCATAATACCACTTCATAGAAAGATATAGAAGTACTACATGCCTAGATGAGTAGGCATTAGATAAGCTTCTGACCTAGAATCTAATGTACCAATATTGTAAGACAAGCAGTTTTTTTTTTAATTTACTTTACCAACCAGCACTTAATGAAAACCTCTAGCAAACATAAACACTAAATTAGAAACCACAAGTTGGAGTTATTGATGCCAACCTGTTCCATTTGCTTTGCTCCACTGGACTCCAAGCTTTAGGTTTAGGAACCTTACAAGGCCCAACAGTTGCCTGTTAAAAGAATAAAATAAAAAACCATCAGTTCTACTACAAAGACACTGAAAACAGAATGAGCAAACTGAAACACAGGCATGTTTCTAATGTTCAGCCTATAAATTTCAAATGTCTTTTAAAAATTAAAAAGGATAACTCAAAATTTACCTCTGTTTCTACATAACACCCTAGCAGAGTGATTTTTTTGGGTCACATTATAGGTTTGCACCTCTAAGCTGCTCCATCGTTTGGCCTATTTAAACCCTGGGCCAGAGAGGGTAACCTGCTAGTGACCTTTACGCTGCACTAAGCTTCTCACATGGACACCCAAAAGCAGGGGTTGGAGAAACTTAAAAGCCAAGAGTCAAAGTGATACGGCACTCAAGCCAAAACCTAACTCCACAACAAAAGTTAGCTCAAGAGTGGAGGTTTGACCACAACATAAGTACCACTTCACAATCTCTTGTAGAGCTGATATGAGATTGTATCATTGCCCACCCCTTGAGAAGCCAATGTCCGCAGTGGCCCACTCTTCGGACTCTTCTCGACACTAGGTAGCCCTTTCCTAAGTTGCCCTCTCCACTAGGCTAGCACCGGACAAGCAAACGACTCTCACTTTAGATAGCTTTCACTCTAGACTCTTCTCGGTTGCCTTTGAACCTTATCAAGCATCGAGTAGTCCTTGGTAGCCCTTTCCCGCCACACACTGGCCTCTCAATGAAAGCACTAACTGATACAACACTCAAGCCAAGACCATAACTCCACCACAAAAGCTAACACAAGAGTGGAGGTTTGGCCCCAACTTAAATGCTACTCTACAATCTCTTGTGGAGCCGATATGTGATCGTATCACAAAACTCCTCCCCCACCCCTGCCAACCTAATCTATCCCCAAAAATGTAACCATCTAGATAAATGCCTTAAGTTTTTGAATACCAATCTCGTATGCAAACTTTGTTTTAAGTCCTATTCAAATTCATCAAAATTCAAATTGTTGAATTGTGATGACTGATGAATATGAAGTATGGCTTTATTTATGCAACTTTGTGTCGCTTTTGTGAGTAAATGTCACTTTGCTTTGCGCTTTAAAGAGATCCAAACTTTGTTGCTTCATTGTGTTTTTCACTTTCAAAGAGTTTGTCTTGAACTGTATTTACTAGGCATAAACATGTTTTTTTTGTACATAAATGTGCTTTAAAATACTTGCCTATGTTGACTATGAAATTTTGCATGAGTTATGCATCAAAATTACATATATGCCCTTTATGAAAGTTTTGAAAAGAATATGATAAATGCTGGTGCAGAGGTTCTCTAATGCAATTAATGCAAAGCTATTAGTAGAATAATGGACTAACTAAAGCGCTGATTCAATATTAGTGAATATATCAAACCCTATGTATACATGATTAGAGGGAGATAGAATTAAATAATTTAAGTTCTGTTTATTTCTTGGAGAAGTAGCCAAGCAGGTGCCTGAATTGAATTGCCAAAAAATAGAATGCCAAATATACCTATTCTATGGAGGCCATGGTTAACTTGTTAAGGACATCGTAGGAATACGGCTATGACTGACTTTCAAGGTCTAACATTCTTCCTATACTCAAGTTAACATTCTGAGCTTTGTTTAAGTCCTGGCTTTCAATATACTCATTTGACCCTCTCTTACCCTCCTACAAAACATACATCCACCATTACAATTTCTAATTCTATAATCATACTGCATAGGAAGTAGGAACTAGGAATCAATGAGCCCATCCTGCAAACATACATCCACCATTACAATTTCTAATTCTCTAATCATACTGTGTAGGAACTAGGAATCAATGAGCAGCATTAACTATTTTCGACATGTCTGCATTACCTCCATCCCCTTGTGATGATAGAGTAACAAATCACTGGGGCCGGTCCAACAAGCAAAGATAAAGCATAAAGAGAAAAGAAAAAAAAAAAAAAAAAAACAAATGGGGAGCCTAGATCTAGCCATATATCGGCGAAATAGAATTCACCAAGCACAATTTCAAAAAGAATCTCCCAAATCAGTGCCGATTAAGCAAGATAAACCGCAATTCACAAGATGCTACATTAAATCACCCGACGCTAATTGAACAAGCAATACCGCAATCCGATCATTCAGAACCTTATATACGAAACAGAACGCAAAACAGAAGCATCAATGATGAGGCGAACCTGCTGATAGAGGGCGTAGAGAAGTAGCGCGACGTCATTTGAGAACTTTGAGATGACGCCTTTAGCGGAGTCGTCAGATCCGTCGAAACCTACGTAGGCCGCTGCCGCATAGAACCTCTCCGGGTATGCGAGGCCAGACCTCGCCCTCGCCATCGCTGCCATTCACCACCACCTCTCTCCCTCTTTTTTTCTCTCTCTCTCTATCTCTCTCTCTCTCTCTTCCTCTCTCTCTCTCTCTCTATATATATGTATATATATATCTATATACACAGACCAGATGGCGAATATCTGAATCTGAGTTCAGCTCGGACGACTCTCAGGTATATGTGAATTTCAGTGAATTGTCTTCCTGAAGAAGAACGTCGATTTGAACTGAAATTGAGGTGAATGCGCCTAGAACAACTATATACGTTGGCAACGTACAAGCTCATTCCATAAAGGTACAACAAGTAGTGTTGTATCTTAAGCATCATTAGTTATACCTTTCCAACAATTAAACATTTTCGTCAGCAGTCGGTTTTTGATTTTCTTTTTAATTTTATTACGTTAATGATGACGTCTTGTTGGTAACTTGGTAATATCAAACGGAGTAAATTTCAATTTTGGTCATGTTACTATTATGATTTTATTAATTTTAATTCACGACTTTCAAAACTATTAATTTAGTAGCTTAACTATTCAATTTTTATCAATTTTGATCACTCCGATCAAATTGTCGGTCAAATGTCACCGAAAATTTTAATTAACCAATTAATGTTTAATGTAAGGGGCAAAATCGTCTTTCTACCACAACAATAATCTCTAATCGTCTTGTCTGTGTCCCTGCATCTCCGATTCTTTCCCACATTGTCTTCCTCGCATCTCCGATTGGCTGTCTACTTTCCGAAAGCTCGTCGCCGGAAGTTCATCGTCTTTCGTAGGCTTCTGTGAATCAGTTTGCATGACCTCATCGTCTTTCGTAGTGGGTTGAGAGCTTTAATTTCTCTCACTTGAATGCTAGCATCTCTCTAGTTTCCCACCATCTGAAGTTCTTTTTCCTTGCACGAACCTCCACTGCCGAATTCATTTGGCTTGGATTTAATTATGCAAACATATGTTATTTTCGGAATTTCCAAGTATTTGAGACTGCTCCTTTCCATTTGTGACTTGTTCACATATTTGAATGGATTTCTACTGGGTTTTCTCGCCGGCTACTCCTTGAGTTCCGACGAGTGGGAGCTTGTACAGATTTGTTGGCTGGAGACGGACTTCCAGAGGCATGGGTTTTCCGACGGCATACACGGTTCTCCGGGAGGGCATCAACGGTAGCACTGGTTTTCTTTCCAAAGTTGGAGAACATTCTCTGTTTTCCATGTGTTAATTGTAACACTTGACTTTCAAAAATGTTAATTTAGTACCTTGACTATGCGCGTTCGCACACACTTACTAGACATTTAATGCGCGTTCGCACACACTTAATCTAATCTAGACCATTAAAAAATATTAGATGGATGCACATGATGTGTTCTCACGTTCTCACCTAGAGCATAATCAAGATGAAAAAAATCATTAAAAGTTTCTATTTACATTAATTAGAAATGACAAGTCAAATAATTTGAAGATTATTAAATGATTGATGACCTGATCCCTTCTGGATTCATTGTTTTCATTTTTTTTCTGTGCACAATTAGTTTGAGTTGCCTCTTCAAAATTATTAAGATCCTGATTTGATGGAGAGCAAAGCTCCACTTCATATTGAATTGAGCTACACCAGCCATTTGAAAAACAATCATTATATGCCAACACAGAATACCTTTATACTCAAACAAACGACATGAGCAAGAAGTGTCAGATGTCTTCTCATTCCAGAATATAATAAAGTCTTGATTTTCCTCAAAATCTTGCACTCTAAATGTTGCAGTTTCACCATTTGCACTTTCTCTATTAGGGTGACATGCAACAACTCCCAAAACCTCATTTTGGAATTTTTTAAATATTGCATGGGTGTACAATGCTGCCATTTGTTTTCCAAAGGGTGAGGGAAATTTCAATCCCGACTTTCTATGCCATGTCTCAAAATCAGCCTTAGTCTCATCTTCCCCATTTCTCGCAATATATTTTTTTACTGGTCGAGAAACTCCTTTAATGTAGTTTTGTGTTGCATGCATTTATCCAAAATGGAGCTAACACTTTCCAATCTTTGCATTGTACAAATTGCAGCCAAAAAGATATTGTTCATATACACCGGAACCCACCTCAGGCGATCTTCATACAGTGATTTAGTCCACAAGTCATTTCTTAAATCAAATCTTTCAACAATTTTCAACCATCTCTTTTGGAACTGTTCATATGTTACTGACTTCAAAATGTATATATTAAACTTAGTAGAAAATTTTTCACATCGTCTTATGATAGAACCAAGCTTCCCTAAAATTTTAATTACTCAATATGTGCCACAAACAAAATGAAATACACAATTAAAAAAAAAAACAAAAAACAAAAAAAAAAACCATAAAACAAAAACAAAAAGCAGAACACGGCCAGCAGCAAAACCTTATCACCGTCGACCAAACACCACCAGCAGCCCCTACCCCCAAATCCCCTCTCCTAGCGTCGCACCGCCACAGCTGCAGTTCCCCGCCACCACACCCCCTACCAGCGCGCCCCCTACACCCACACTAATCTCACAAAGACAATGGCCACCCAAATTTGAGCAAAAATGTACTGCACTAGTACTAAAAAAAAAAAAAAAAAAAAAAAAAAAAAAAAAAAAAAAAAAACAACCTAAATCTACTAAACCCGCCCTCAATCCCACCGTCCGACCCATGAACCACCATCCCCCCCCCCCCCCCCCACACACACACACACAACACGGCTGAGATGGAAACACACATGCATATCACCCCCCCCCCACCACCACCACCACCACCACCACCACCACCACCACCACTACCACCACCAAACAGTCACCGCAACACAAAGATAAAAACACAAAAAAAAAAAAAAAAAAAAAAAAAAAAAAAACGGAAATGACAAAAGGGGAAAAAAATTATCTCGACCTACACCCCGAGTTAGTGGTCTCTCGCGCTTGGCTTCATTGCGGTCCTCATCGACGACCATCGTCCGCTGCTGATGAAGAAGGCGAATCCAACGACGTGGGAGAGTCGTTCGACGCACGTACGCTAAAGAGAGAGATCGAGAAAGACAAAATAACTTATGCGCGTGATTGTAGAGGTAGAGTTTGATCCAATTAAATCAATAGTAAAAACTCAAAATTACCCTCCCTAACATAAAAACAGGCGCACGATACATTAAAATTCCCATAAATAATTAAATCAATCCTATCCATCGAATTTTAAAATCCAACGATCGTAACCAATCAACACGTTTGTATTTTAAGGGTTGTTTGTATTTTAATCGCATTTGCACACACTTAATCTAGATCAATCTAAACCATTAAATTTATTAGATTGATGCACAAGATTTGATCTCACAATGTCACCTAGACCAATCTAGATCAATCGCATTTGCACACACTTAATCGTGTTCACACACATTTAATCGCGTTCGCACACACTTAATCTACACCATTTAAATTTATTAGATTGATGCACAAAATTTGATCTCACAATCTCACCTAAATAAGTGTTCTCATATGAACCTTATATATATATATATATATATATATATATATATATATATATATATATATATATATATATATAGAGCCGAGATCCCATGCGGCTATGACATTAGGTACGGCAGTGCAGTCATCTAAGAGCCATTGGATTAAAGCAGATCAACGGACCATACCATTTCATCATTTGCGCGCTTGACATCAGCATACCCGCGACGGAGGGGGCAAAGTAGTCAATAATTCTAATTCAAAAATGAGACTTTTCCTCCTTCTACAAGCTACACCGGTCCATTCGCTTATTCACAATCCCAACGCACGAGAGCAGTTTCACTCCTCCCAACGACGACGAAGCCTTCGCGAAGACGACGATCGACGATCGACGATCGCCTCAGCACAAAAACAGGGAGCTACTGTCAAAACACACCACTACGTTTGCGATAGGAAGCAGAAACCCTACACCGCAGACCAGTTTCGACCACGACAACCCAAAAAAATGGTGAACAAGGGCAAACAACTAGTGACGAAGAGCAAACAGACAGCGCCGAATGGTATGCACTCAAACTCTAGACACAAAAACCAACTTCAACATGACAATATTTGATATTTACTTTATTATTGGTGTATTTTGTATTATGTAAAATGAGTAGAGCAATCAACGTTGTTGTGTGTTTTACTTGGATGATCGGTGTGTCTTCACATAATATTAGTGTGTTTTTGGTTCCATCCTGACTACTACATCTAATATTGTGTTGTCTGGGGATTATCAACTTGAATGTAGTGTATATTTCGGTTAGTATTGGTGTATTCTGGACTATGTAACTTGAATAGGGAAAATAACACTGTTGTGTGATTTATTTGGGTTATCGTTGTATCATAATCTAATATTATGTTGTCTGGGGATTATCACCGTGAATATAGTGTATATTTCAGTTAGTATTGGTGTATTCTGGAATATGTAACTTGAATACAGAAAAGATCAATGTTGTGTGTTTTATTTGGCTGATCGGTGTATCTTAATCTAATATTTGTGTGTTTTGTAGTATATTTCAGAATATGACATCTCATATTGTGTTGTTTTTTTTTGGGCATTAGCAGCATGATTGTGGTGTGTATTTAATTTAGTATTGGTGTATTCTGCACTATGTAATTTGAAAAATGGAAAATAACATTGTTTGTGTGTTTTAATTTGGGATATGAGTGCATTTTTACCCTACATTACGGTATCTTTTAACACTGAGGCTGTATCATATATGTTTAGATTAATATCACTGAATTCATGCAGACAAAAAGAGAAAGACATTAGAACAAGGAGAATCATCAAAGCCAAAACAACAACGGAAACAACTAGCATTGGCATTCCGTGATAGAATGGAAACAGAAATACAAGAGCAAGTTACTGGTGACAGCTCTGATAATGAGGTTCAAGATGAAGAAACAGAGCTAAAGATACGGCCACTGCCCACACAGCTAATGAGACCAATTGAATCACTGACCAGATCCCAACGCAGAAGTGTAGAAGAAATTGGGCTAGGAAGGATACTTGATCTCAACATCACCAACCTGCCAAGGAAGATGGGGATGTGGCTAGTTGAAAGCTATGACTCTAGGAGCAACACACTGAATCTACCATCTGGTGAAAGGCTCCCAATCACAGAAAATGATATTGCTGCCACCTTGGGACTGCCACTTGGAGACATAGAAATCACTAAGAGGGAATCCAAACAGGTATCTGATCTCCTAGCAGAATGGAGAAAAATCTTTGGGAAGGTTACTGGCCACATCACCCCCCATACCATGGCTGAAAAGATGCTAACATTAAAAGCTGCTGACCCTTGGTTCAAGAGGCATTTTGCACTGCTTGTCATGAGTGTGTTGGTTGAACCACAAGTTAATGGTTATGTCAACCAAAACTACATCGACAACCTTCTTAATGTACACAACATCAAGAGACTTAATTGGTGCAGAATGCTCATCAACTCACTCATTGCCAGCAAGCAGGCATGGCTTGACAGCGCTGATGGGAGATATGGAGGCCCAATTGTTTTCCTAACGGTAAATAGGCCCCCAACCATACTTGTAATTATTTACTCATCATTATATTAATACTCTAAACTACCAAGTGCAGGTATTCTATGTTGACCGTGTTGTTCTATACCGGAGGACTATCCCACGGAGCTTCCCTGCAATGGCGAATTGGACATTTAAGTTGCTCCGTCAACGACAGCAAACTGAGATCAAATCTGGAGGCTTTGGGTATGGGCGGGTTGATGTTGCCTTGCCAGTTCAGAGCACACCATGCAGTGACCGGAACCCCAGCATAGGACAGTCTGATGTACCACCACAACCACCATCATGTGAAGAAGATGCACCACTTCCCCATGGATTACAGGTATACATAACACTTTGAACAGACTCATGGGGTATTTTGTTTGTGCATACTTCTGTATATATTGGTGTGTTTATACTACATGAGTTTTTTTTTTTCTGGTGCTTTACTTATTGTTGACTGATCATAACTTACTGGTGCATATACAGGAGTTTATTGATGAGGTTACTACCAACACAAGGACGATTGCAAAGAGTTTACTGAGGATTTCAAGACTGATTGAAAATGCACCTGCAACGGTATTGGAGCATGACACCTTCAAGCAGATGTTTGAGTCTGCTAGACAGATGCTTGGATTTAAAGCGCAAGAAGATGGACAACTGACATTTACCCAGCAAGAGGATGCCTATTGGAGTGACCCAGAGTTCTTGAAAGCGGTTGATGAAATCGTCCGTGCAGTAAACAAGAGGACATTTCTAAATCATATGCCAACTTTCAGCTTGGGATTGTCACAAGAGGGAACAAGTAGAGACACGCCAACTATGAATGCTAATGCACAAGACTACCAGGACAATGATGAAGCTCCAGAAAATGAAGACGTCCAATTGGATGGGCTAGATGGTCAAACAACAGAGAAAGCTCAAGAAGACACCGAGAACATAACCAAGGCCGCCAATCAAGAATGTGTGCAAGAAGCTGAACAAGTGAACATAAATGATGAGGTAAGATCATTCTAAAAGTTGGTGTGTTATTGATATATGTTGGTGCATTCTATAATAATGTTGGTGTATAAATATCTTACAGATCACACCAGTAGGACAAGGCCAGGAGGCCCCTGGTTCAGATCCACCACACCCACCACAACCAGCAGACAAGGGCAAAGGACCAGCTAGAGTAAACAGCCCAATTAGACCAAGACCATCCTCATACGTACTTGATCTGGACCAACCAATATCTCCAACAGAAGAAGCAATCAGGAAATGGGTATTGGACAACCCTAACCCAGATCTGTAAGCACAACACATTCTAAAAGTTGGTGTGTTATTGATATATGTTGGTGCATTCTATAATAATGTTGGTGTATAAATATCTTATATTAATTGATGCATTATTTGATAAGAGTTGGTGTGTTTATGTTATATAATGTGTGCTTCCACACATTGGGTGATGGGGGCCCTATTAGTATAAAAGTGGTGGTGTGTTATGCATATGTTAATAGTGCATATTTGGTATGTGTTTGGTTGTTCACATCAAATGATTTGTTAACTGATTGTGGTGTGTAACTAATATCTTTTTGGTGTATTTATTGATTATTGTGGAATATTACTAGCTTTGGTACTTATAATATACATTATTCTTGCATTTTATTTATATTATCTTCTGTATATGTATTACAAGGACACAAGAACTATTCAAGTATGACGGAAGAGTAATCTACTGGAAAGATATGCTGACAATGAAGCCAGATACAAATATTGCAGTCTCTATAATTGATGCTTGGTCAGTCATACTCAACATTCGTGAATCAGAGAGGGGTTGTACAAAATTCATTGCTTCAACATGGTCAACTGTAAGTGAACAAAAATGCAAAACTAACTTCATCTTTAAAAAGCTTAAACTTCTAACAAAAATACCATTGAACTTTTGCAGCTATACACAGTTGTGGACCCACAAGGAGATGAGGATGTGAGGTTTGGAAGATTCAAAGCAAAGTACCTTGAGGACAAGACCATAGTGGCAGACGTTATGTGGCACAAAATTCTATATGTAAGATAGTAATATATTATATTCACTGCTTTATATTTTGCTTACTACTTGAGTTTTGTCTTTAAACATTGGTTGGTGCATTCTAGTAGTTACTTGTGTGTAGTGTATTACTATACATACTTTAGTGTATATTGTGGCTCATGTTGGTGTATTTTGTTGCTATATCAGTTTCTGTTTCCAATAGTGGCATCCAACCACTACTACCTGATGTCTATTAGCCCGCTGATGGAAAGGTACGACATCATTGACAACTCATCAGTGACTGTGAAGAAGGAAAACAAGTATGGATATGTGATTGCGAATCTGGTAACACACGAAACCCTAAATGATTATGTATTTTTGATATACAAAGACAACGGAATACTAATATTTGTATGCAATTACTTGATGCAGCAAAAATTCTTTTCAAAATTCTTGTTTGATATGAAAACCACGTACAAAGCTGAGAAAGTTCAGAAACTGAAATCTAAAATAATGAAAATGCCTTGGAGAGATGCCCAGAACAAGATGGATTGTGGCATTTTTCTCATGCGCCACTTGGAGACTTTTCGAGGACAGACACAAGCAGAATGGCAATGTGGATTGCATAAGAACAACAAGGACCAATTGAACAAACTAAGAGTGCGATACTTGGCTGCCATGATCATGTCAGATGTAAACGAGCACAAAGAAAGGAACATCCAACAGGCAGCAGAGTTTGGTATTTGAAAAAGAATTTCAGGGGGCATATAGACTTTTGGATGGTTGATGTCTATATTTTTGTGGTTACTTTTAGACTAATTACTCTTTTGTGATGGCACCCAGACAATGTGAACTCACTATGTACTTTGATCAACTATAACACACAATTTGGAGCCCTACAATGCACTATATACGTGATTGAACTATAGTTTAAAAATACTCCACTTAAAAACACCATTATAAGAACTGATATGCACCACAACAAGCCGCAAAGTGTTAAAATACATGCCATTTATTTAGATTACATCACATCACTACGCGATAACCTCAAAAGACACTATTTCAAGAATTCAAATGCACCAACAACATATATAAAAAGACCACATCATTCTAAATACAATAATGCACCAGATGACAAAGTAAAACACACCATTCCTAACATGTTGAAATGCACCAGTATACACTATAGAAAACACTATAACTTGTGTTAAACGCACCATATGCTGTAATAAAATGCACAGTTTCAATTATATTGTAAAAATCCTGATTCTATGTAATGAGATAAATTGTGTGCACGACTGTAAAAACATCTAGGTCCAACAGAGAGCAAGAAAAGAAACAAAAAAACAGAAACCTATCTAACCATTTAAAGGGCATGTCCTGCTATTGTGCTCGTATTCATCACAAGTGTGACATTTCCTTGATTGTTTTACACACTTACGCGCAGCTTTCTCCCTTGCACTCTTCAACCGCTTGCCACTGCCCTTGTTCTTAGCTTGGATGGGATCATGCACCTCCACTGTCGACTGCTGCGACACAACTCCACAAACTGAATTAATCACGCTTTGCTTGCTGCCACCAGCCACCCCACTTCCATTCTCACTGCCGTCTTGTAAAAATAATTGTCTTTGCTCACAAATAACACGTCGTAGCTGTGACAAACGTTCTATATTACCATCGGTCAATCCCACACAAGCATATATGTCAGACCACAGTATATTAGTAAGCACCCTAACATTCTCCACTTTAGAAGATTGATCAACAACTGTATCATCAATATCAAATATTGGCTTCAAACAAGCACCTTTTGTCCACCGGTCCACCAAATACCTCGAAGGAATGCTCTCAAGGCCACAATCTTTAAAAACCAAAAAAATATGCCTACACAACAACCCCATCCGCTCAAACATCTTGCAAGAACAAGTAGCAGTATAATCAGACAAAACAAGCTCCACACACCATGGCCGCTGGTCTCCATCATTTATCACATAAGACACATGACCATCACAGTTGCACAAAGAAGCCACTCGACACGAAAAGCAAGCTGCACAAATCTCTACTTGCACATCATAAAATACAGAAATGGCGTAAACATCCATTGCATGCTTTTCCAATGCCAGTGGTGTCTTCAAAACAGGAAAACAAGATTCACAATCAGCATTCATTTTTGCTTGAGTGTGACGTTGTGCACCAATAGCACTGCCAAAATGCACCAAGAACTCAACCAAACTAGAATGTCCATTAGAGAAACTGCCAAAGAAACTATTTTGAGATTCTGATCGTGAAGTTGTCCTAACCAAGCCCGACATAAACTCGTCGTGAAAATATGGAGATGCCCAAAATGTACGAGACTCAAACAAATAACGAAACCAACCATTATCACCCAAACCATATTCCTCCATAATATGACTCCATGCATCCTCAAAAGCCTTGGCGTCAAGAGATTTGTTCCAAACAATGCAATTCAACTTCCTCCGAAACACCTCATCTTTAGACAAAACCGGTCCAACCTTCTCACCAACCTTGCACATTATATGCCACATGCAAAATCTATGTTTTGATGTTCCAAACACACGAGCAACAGCAAGCTTAACAGCTGGATCTTGATCAGTGACAACACAAATAGGGTCATGACGCATGGTTTTCTTAAATTTCTCCAAAAGCCACACATATGAATCTACATCTTCCCTTGTAAGCAAACCAGCACCAAAGGTGATGGATCTCTTATGGTTATCAATTCCAGTAAATGGAACAAAAACCAAGTTATACCTACATAACGGACAACACACCAAATACTTATCACCAGCATCCTAACAAAACACACTATAAAACCTAACCATATGCACCATAATTATTTACAAAATGCACAATAAACACAAATTACTAACCTGTTAGTACGATATGTGGCATCGAATGAAACCACATCACCAAACAAAGCAAAGTTCTTCCTAGACACTGCATCAGCCCAAAAAACCCTAGAAAGTTGATCACCGTCGTCAACATCATATTCAAAATCAAAAGCCTCGCACACTTCACGCCTCTTGAAAAGCGTATCTATGAACAATTGAGCATCGCCATTTAATATGTACGCCATCAAATCACGTTTGAAATTCTTAAAATCCACACCTGTAGCACCAACACTAGAATAATCACCTACAATCTCCTTAAACAACCTATATGATCGAACAGACCCAATATTTGCCCGAAAACAACTCGCAATGAACATTTGGTGTCCAGCATCAAGACTGCGATTCACCTTTAAAAATTGCTTAGCAATAATTGAACACATCAAATGCGTGTGGCGTTCCTCCAGATAATGCACACTATACAAACCATTAGACTTGAGCTTATAGACCACCTTAGCCTTACACCCAACCCTATTTGTCACCCTCCGTCTCGTGACCTTATTAGTTTTAGCATCAACTGAAATAATGTGCTTAAACCCCTCACGACTGCATAACACATGTTTCTCCACAACAACACCATCCCTCCTCCTCCGAGTTGAGCCCTTCCTACAGTCAAAACCAACAGCCCCAGCATATTGTTTATAAAAAGCAATGGCACCATCCAAAGAATCAAATTTTTGCCCCACGTGAGGCTTCAAACTGTCAGCACAAACTGGGCGCCAATACTTGGTCAACCCAGGAGAAATTTCCAAATCACATACACTGCCTCCTACCCCAACATCAGTGGGACAGTCTTCATTGCAACAACCACCATTGCCTTCAACACCAACTTCGGTAGAATTGCCTTCATTGCAACCCCCATCACTGCCTTCTACACAAGCATCAGAGGACTTAACTTCATCACAACCCACATCACTGCATTCTACACAAACATCAGAGGACTTAACTTCATCGCAACCACCATTACCTTCTACACCAACAGAGTCCAAATTAAGTTCATCACAACCACCAATATCAGTTGAATTAACTTTATCGCAAACACCACCAACAGAGTCCGAATTGACAGCTTCACACGACAACATACCTAATAACACACCAAATTTAATCTGATAACACACGAATACACTACCTAAATGCAACATACATACGCATAAAATCTGAAAACTACACATCACACCGACAACAAAATATTCACCACAATAATGCAAATACCGCAGCATAATCACAAACACACCACACAATACCATAGTCAACACCGGGGACACAGCCAAAACAGGAAAAAACGCGATATACACAATCCGAAGCAGAACAAACACATAATAAGAATAATAATAATAATACTAATAATAATAATAATAATAATAATAATAATAACAACAAATTAAAACTAAAAACCTAGAAAAAAAGAAAAACATACCAGGCTCCATCGCTCAAAATTGATATTCACCAATTGCGATTATGCTCTTCGGCAATGTTCTCCAATTGCGATCGCAATTCCCAACTGCAGTTCTGATCTCCGGCGATATTTTCCTATTGCGATCGCAATTCCACGCTGCGATTCTGATCTTCGGCGATATTCTCAAGTCGCGATCGCAATCCCCGCACTGCAATTGTGATCTCCCGGTGATCTTTATCTTCGCCCAGCGGTGAAAATTAGAAACCCAGCTTATATACCTGCACGTCACCAGCCATCGAAATTACAAGAAAACCCCCACTTACCAAACGCGAAAAGAAGCTTTCTTAATCAGCTGATATGTTACCTGCCGTTGGATTAAGCACAATAGACGCCCCAGATTCAACCATACTGCCGCATGTATAGTACTGACCGTACCTGAGTCTTATTCTATATATATATATATATATATATATATATATATATATATATATATATATATATATATATATATATATCAATTATAATTAAATTTTAAAAATAAATTTACATCCTCCATTAATGGAACTTGAATAAAATTATTATCAATTTAATTTTTTATAATATTAAATTTAAGAGAAAATTTCAAAGTTGGTCCACTGACTATTGGAGTTGTGTTAATTGCAACACTTGACTTTCAAAAATGTTAATTTAGTACCTTGACTATGCAATTCTTATCAATTTTGGTCACGCCGGTCAAATTACCGATCAAATGTGACCCGAAAATTTTAACTCATTAAATAAAAAGGGTAAAAGCGTCATTTCATGTAATTCAAACCTCCTCTTCTCCAACCGGCCTCCTTCTCGCTTTTTCTCCGATCTCCTTCTCCTCTTTGCTTCCGGCTTCCAACTCATTAAATCTGATGACTCTTGCCTCGTCAAAGGCGTCCATGACGATCTCGAGATCACAAGCTCATCGCTTTCTTTCTCCTTCTTTGATTCTTCTTCCGAAAATGCATGTAAGCTCAGACTCAGATGAATGGGTGGAAACTGGTGGTTGGGGATGTGTTGGGGATTGTGTCATTCTACCGGTTGTTGGGGATTGTGGCAGGCTATGTTGGGGTGTGGCTGTTGAAGACGATCACGTGTGGGGATCCAACCGGGTGGTTCTCGATTTCATGGAGAGTGTCTTGTTTCTTCCCTGGAATTGCCTTCTCAATACTCACAATCCTCAACTTGCTCCTCTGCGGAAGCCAAAACACTGGGGCAATCCCGCTCTTCACTTACATTATTCTACTTCTCTTGTGGTTCTGCATCTCGGTGCCATTGACTCTAATGGGTGGATTGATTGAACCCGGGTTTCCCACTTGGAATACCCCATAAAAACCAACCAAATCCTTCGGGAAATCCCGGCACAGAGATTCCCAACATGGTTTCTAGTGATAGGAGCAGGAACGCTCCCCTTCGTGACTCTCTTCATTGAGCTCTTCTTCATCATGTCCAACATATGGCTAGGACATGTCTACTACATCTCTGGGTTCCTCTTCATTTTCCTCATCCTCCTCGTGCTCGTGTGCGCTGAGGTTTTGCTGGTCCTCACTTACATGCAACTGTGTGTGGAGGACTAGAGGTGGTAGTGGAAGTCCTTCTTTGCGTCCTAGTTTTCGACCTTATGAACCTCAGTGGACCTGTCTCAGCGCTTCTCTACTTGGGCTACTCGCTGTTGATGGCGTTGGCTGTCATGCTCGCCACAGGAGCCATCGGCTTCCTCACCTCTTTCATGTTCGGGCATTGCCTTTTCTCATCTGTCGAGATTGATTCATTAATTAATTATATATAATTGTTTTACTTTTATCTTAATTTGGTTTAATTTGCAGTGCAATAATGGATAGTAAGTTGTTTAGATCAAGTTGTTCTGTCTGTTTGTTTGTCTGGATATTATTGATTATATTGCTGCTAGTGGACTAGAAAGGATTACATTATATTACAGTGGTGCCATGTTTAGCCATATCTCAAGCACCTCAACCCCATATAGCAGGAAATTCTGTCGTCGAAACCATGTAGAGTGAAGAATCATGTGGAATCAGACGGAATCGACTTTCACGTGACTGTACTTGCGTTTTCGAAAGAAGAAGCAAAGAAGGAGAAAGAAAATGATGAGCTTGAATTGTGATCTCGAGTTCGTCGTGGACACCAGGCAAGAGTCATCAGATTTAATGAGTTGGAAGCCGGCAGCAAAGAGGAGAAGGAGATCGGAGAAGAAGCGAGAAGGAGGCCGGTTGGAGAAGATGAGGTTTAAATTACATGAAATGACGCTTTTGCGCCTTTTATTTAATAAGTTAAAATTTTCCGGTCACATTTGGCCGGCATGACCAAAATTGATAAGAATTACATAGTCAAGGTACTAAATTAACATTTTTGAAAGTCAAGTGTTACAATTAACACAACTCCAATAGTCAGTGGAGAAAAATTAAAATTTTCTCTAAATTTAATATTAATATTTGAAATTTATATATTTAGAAAGTACATTAAAAATATTATTAAATACACAAAATTAAATTAAAAAATCAGTAAAGAAAATAAACAAAGAAAAAAACAAGAGACAAATTGAGTAATATTATAAAATAACATTAAAATAAGACATATTGAGTACTATTATAAGATAATATAACATATAAAATGAGCTAAAAATATTTTTTTTAAAAAAAATCAAGGCATAAAACTTAGTATATATACAATAAATTAACATATTAATTCAAATTTTTATATATACCTTGAAATTAAATCAAATCAAATAGGTCAAATTTATATATATACCTTGAAATTAAATCAAATCAAATAGGTCAAAGGCTAATCTTTTATTTAACAGACTAGCTACTTGGTAGGATATGAGAGTTCAGATGAGACTAAACTTCTTTTTCTATTTATAATAATCAACCAATTCCCTATCTGTAATTTCACAATATTCTCACCAAAAAAAACAATGAACCCTTTAACCTTAGAAATCACCATTAAATCCGCCGAAGTTTTCAAGAAGTACGTACTTTGCGTCGGCAAAATGCAGCTATACGCCACCGCGCACCTTGTCGGCGGCGACCGAAACTCCGCCGAGTGTCGAACCCACGTCGACGAGTACCGCGGCTCGCGCCCAATTTGGTGGATTCTCGCGAGTTTCCGCACCCACGAATCCGAGGTTCGCAACAGCAACGTCGTCTTGGTTTTCGAAGTCAAGTGTAAGAAGAACGTGGGGCCCGACAAATGTGTTGGCACAACCTACGTGCCGATAAAACAGTTTTTTGATCAATGTGTGAGCCAAGGCTTCCAATACCAAGATGTGGCTCTTGGGATTAGTTCGAAATTGGGGAAGCCACGAGGTGTTCTGTATCTTTCCTATGTTTTTACGGCTTATAATTTTCTTAATTTTCCGCGCCTTTACGTGCCATCTGCCCCTCCGATGTTCCGTGCTTTAGATTTGGTGCAAGAAGATAGAGATTAAGCCGAAATTGTTATTGTAAAACGTTACAATTTAGACATGACGGATGTTACGTTGCTGAGGTTTGATGGAGATGTTAATTACACATACCTTATTGATAAGTTCTTTTGACATGAACATTGTTGATGAGGTGTATGTATTTATGCTTAACCCAGGCCAGGCCAGGTGAGGTGCATGTAAGGGTTTGCCTAAACTATTGGTATTTTGAACTGCATTTTATTTTTTGGGTTGAAATTCCTATTCCTTTATTTAATTTATTATTATTATATTCCCTTTTCAAATTTTATGTTCAATCTTGGACTAATGGGATGATAATTCATTTGAATTTTAACCGAATTGCATGTTCAGTTTAGGTCAGTTTTATGTTTATTTTATTGTGAAATGAAATGAAGTTGATTACTTGAGATTTATGTTTAGTTAGCCAGTGCCTCATGGGTTTTTATATATGGAAGAGATAACATTGAAAAGAGAAGCAAAAATAAAAATAAAAAATAAAAAATAGAGCCCATCTAGAATTGAAACTATAACTGGGCGTTGGGTTGGAGGGAGAATTATGTGGGAAAGGAATTGCAATTCCCTCCAACCAAATTACGGAATTTAATGGCCTTGACCTTTGAAATTAGGTGGAATTAAGTGGGAAGGGAATTTAAAATCCCTCCAACCAAACGCTCGGTAAGACCTCATTTTATCATCCATTTGGAATAATAATCACAGGGAGTTCATATACCATAGATTCTAATACAATTTTTGTTTTTTAGTGTAATCAACTAATCTAATGTTAGAGCCTGTATTATTTGTTGATTTTGAGATTTGCATTTTAGATTATACAAAAATTAATATTTTTTAAACATATATTTATTATAAATAAAATGTGGGCTAGTAAGTTGGGCCGTTTAACCTACTAGCCCACTAGGTGGTGAAGTTTTTTTTTTTTTTTTTGAGGAATACTTTTTTTCGAAGAAGAATTTTTTGAGGAATGCTAGGTGGTGAACTTGGTTACGTATGTTGTAATTTGTCCAAAACTGAGCCTAGCAGTGTATTGTTCAGTCGTTATACTGTGGACCATGGTCCAAAAACGATGTTTCTTTAATTAAAGAAACGGTTATCGTTACATATACATATTAATGGAGTTCGTATTTTTGTGTTAATTGCAAAATGAAACTATATTGTATTTAAAATGAAACTATCTCACATATTGTTCTTATATTATCAAATGAAATTGTAGTTGTGTATTGTTTTTATATTATCAAATGAAATTGTAGTTGTGCATTGTTTTTATATATTATCAAATCAAATAAAACTGTAGTTGTGTTGAAATGAAATAAAACTGCAGCATATATAAAATGAAATTGAATAACAATTTTACATAACTGAATATTGAATAACAATTGAATAACAATTGTACATGACTGAATATTGAATAACAATTTTACATAAGTAAATTACAATTTTACATATTTGAGTGTATAATGTCGAATGAAACTGTAGTTGTGTTGAAATGAAACTGCAGTGTATATAAAATGAAATTGCAGTGTATATTGTCCAATGAAACTGCAGTGTATATTGAAATGTACACTGTAGTGTTGTAATTATATTGAAATGTGTGTTGTAATGAAATTATAGTGTATAAAACTGCAGTGTATATTGAAATGTACTGTAGTTATATTGAAATGTACTGTGTGTTGTAATTATATTGAAATGTACTGTAGTGTTGTAATGAAATTATAGTGTATATATGTGCTGTAGTGTTGTAATGAAATTATAGTGTATATATGTACTGTAGTGTTGTAATGAAATTATAGTGTATGTAAAATTAAACTGAATAATAGTTTTACATATTTGAGTGTATAATGTCAAATGAAACTGTAGTTGTGTTGAAATGAAACTGTAATTGTGTTGAAATGAAACTGCAACGTATATAAAATGAAAGCTACTTTATGTGGAACGGGTGTCGTTGGTCCATAATGCTTTGTAGACCACAGTATAATTTGCCTATATTGTTCACAAATTATTTTGTGGATCCGGGTCCACCTTGCAAGGTGGACCCGATCCAACTGTTCACAATTTACCTTTAAAAATTTCATAATTTGTATACTACGAATAATGTATATTCACAAATTCCCTTCTAGTTGTTATGTGTTTTGATTTAGAAACACAATTTATATTCACAAATTCTATTCTACCTGCTATTATGTGTTTTGATGACTTAGAAACGCAATCTATATTCTAAAAGTTCACAATTTCAATACTAGAAATACATAATTTAAAAAACAACCGTGTATTATTATAATGAAACTACTCAAACTAGTGTATGTATATATAAAATAAAACTAAAAGAAAATTCAATATATTATCAAATGAAAAGTATAATTAGTATAATACCACTCCATAGTCCACATTGCTACTGGACCATATGGTCCACAGTAAATGTATCATATGGGTCGGGTTGACCAATCGTTATACCCTACACCACGGCGCGCGTAGCACTGTGCGCTGTGCGTCTCCCAAAACGACGTCGTTTTGGGAGGCGTGGTAGGAAGTTGCTGTGATTATGTGTATTTGTTCACACAATTATGTGTATTTGTTCATACAGTTATGTATATTTTTTATACAATTATGTACATTTTTTTTTATACAATTATGTACATCCGAATCAGAAAATTTGTGTGTATTATGTTAAGAGTTGATGTGTATTATGTTAAAAGTTTATGTTTATTATGTATTAAGTTAGATTATGTGTATTATCTTTTTAAAAAAGTATGTATATTTTGTTATATAATTATGTACATTCATGTATACAATTATGTGTATTCTACTATAACATTATGTATATTTTTGAACAACGGGTTTTTTTTTAAAGAAAAAATTACTGCCATTCACTGGGACGAGAAATTTCAAAAAAAAAAAAAAAAATTAAAACGACGTCGTTTTGCATCTGGGCGCACAGTGCAACGTACGCCGTGGTGTAGGATATAAATTGCCCGGGTTGACCTAGCTATTTGAAACTTCTAATTTCATATTTTAAATAGCAATATTATTTGGATACACAACTTTATATACACAGTCAAGTAAATTAGGCCATTTAACCTGTTAGCCCACTAGGTGTTGAGCTTAATTGGTTATAGATGTTGTAATTTTTTTAAAAAATGAGTCTATCTTAGCATATATGGTCCAGTTGTTATAATAAAATTAGAGTTAATACCCAAAATCGTCATCGACTATAGTGATTTTTCTCAATTTCGTCCTAAACGACTTTGGTGACCTAATATCGTCCCAGGCTTTTGTGTTTCGCTCAATTTAGTCCTTCATTTGTTATTTCATCAAATTGGTGTTAAATAAAGGGACAATTCAGTAATGTCAATATTGATCTCTCTTTACTTTCAACTTGTGAAGTGCGAAATTCCTCTTTCTTGTACGAATTACACCCAGAATTACTCCCGGACCTGCAAATCAAATTTTATATTCGCAGTTTTAGGAGTAATTCGTAAAAAAAAAAAAAAAGATTTCGCAGTTCACATGTCTATGAGTAAAGAGATGCCAATATTAAAATTACTGAATTGTCTATTTATTTAACACCAAATGGACATAATAACAAATGAGGGGCTAAATTGTGCAAAAACACAAAAGTCTGGGACTAAATTGAGCGAAACACAAAAGTCTGGGACAATATTAGGTCACCAAAGTCGTTTAGGACGAAATTGAGAAAAACCACTATAGTCGAGGACGATTTTGGGTATTATCTCAATAAAATTAGTGTGTGTAAAAAATAAAACTAAAATTTAGAGTCATACAATATTGTCAAATTAACATGAAGTATTATAACTCTGTGTGGAAAATGAAACTAAAAAATAAAACTCATACAATAATGTATATTGTCAAATGAAATGATACTTTTAAAATGATATTTTGGTATTGTTATAATGAAACTAGTATGTGATTGTATTAGACTAAATTAATCTTAACTCAGTGAGTTTTTGTTCCCCAACTCGAAAGAATTAATGAAATTTAAAGATTGACCGGGCGTGTTTTATGGCTAAAAATAGCGGAAATTTGGGCACCTTTTTCTTGAAGTTTTATTAGACTAAAGGTTGTGTTGTGTGTAGGATAAATTAGAAAAGAATTTATTGGTATGTTTTTATTTTAAGAATGGTTGCGGAAAGCACAAGGCTTTCCACGATCCTAGTATTTGCGACCATTGTATAAGAGTCGCAAGTTAGCTAGCTTGTTGTATACATCCATATATGTTCAAATAACAACACTCTAATAATTTAATTTTTTAAAAATTTAAAATATTAAATGCCAAAATAATAAAACAACCAATTCAACTACCAAAAACAATAGTAACGTACCGTGAGGGTCTAATCTAACTCTTTGCAAGATATAGAGAAAAGTACAACATAGGAGTTTGGGTAGATGAAGGTCTAACTCATAGACAAACATGGGAACTTATCAATATGCAACATGTAGAGAAAACATATATGCATAGAGAGAGAAAAAAAAAATACAATATAGGGGTACAATATGAGGGTCTAACTCATATGGACAAAGATGGAAGCTTACCAAGATGAAACACATATATAATTATATATAGAGAAAAGTACAATATAGGAGTTGGAGTAGCTTGATAATGAAGGTCTAGGAACTTACCTGGATGTAGCATATATTGAGAGGAAAGTACAATTAAAAACACTAAACTAGAGAAGAATGAAATGAGAGCAAATACCACCAACAAAACACTTTTGTTTCATGAAAAATGTTTCCCTTAAATTTGAAGAAAACTAGAATTTTTCTTTGTTTGGTTCATGGAAAACAATTTCGTCAAAAATGAGGAAAATATTTTCCATGGTCCTCCCTAGGTATTTTGTTCTTTATAGAAAATGTTTTCCATGGAAAATAAGTATGACAATTATGCTCTCACCAATTTTTCATAATTACCATTATTATTATTGTTATTATTATTATATAGGGGTATAATTGTCTTTATACTCATTATTCCTTACAAT